CATAGAAATCGTCTACTATTAAAAACACCACAAGCTAACAATAAGATACTTTCAAATTCTAAAATGCAAGGTACTTTTAACAAAGCGAGTCATCGCCATGTCTTATTGAAGTTTATACGCTAAATTAAATATAGCGACATCTATCGGAAGCCTAAATAGTTTGAATTTCGTTTTATGATTGTGATTTCTTCTCATAGATGGCGCTAAATACAATTGAGCGTAGTAAAGAATTTTTTACTGAAGCTTCTCGCTTATAACTCGTATGAAATATTTAGTAAGAAAATATTTTAAGTATTTCTAATAGGTACATGTGTTTGATGAAACACGTCACAGCGAATAATATTGAGTTATACTTGTAAAACCCTGTTCGATTAGACTAGATGGGGCCTTATTGATTTAAAAAAATAAAACAGCACGTCGTAGTAAATGCGACCACTTCTGAGTAAAAAATCTAATACTATCAATACTCTAATACTACCAATAATCGATCAACGAGACTATACAGAGAAAATGTTATTCGTTATATTTTTTTACCAATATTTTCTGAATCTTAAAAGATCGAACAGGGCTCAAATTGAATGCAGTAATTAAATGACCAGATACATAGAATAGTTATTAAAAGTATAGATAGAAGATGACTTGCAAATAGATCTAAGATATGTAATGAAACATCTTAATAAAATGCTAAACAGAAATTCTACGCCAATAAAAGTATACAAAATAATGATATTAATAAAATTTGGCATTGATATTTGTACTTTTGTTTTAATGTGGAAAATGACTAGATTGTTTTTGGCAAAATATAATCTAATTCAATATTGACCGTCAGCGTCATTATTTTTAACACAGTTACGGTTTTAATGGCGCTGACGATGTTTTACTCACTAGATGGCGCTGTCAGACAAATCATTAAACGTCTAATGGTATACAAATTCACATCTAGCGCCATCTAGTAGAAAAATATAGCAATAGACAATTAATTATATTATCAATGAGATAGTTAACTGGATGCATATAACTAAGGAGAATCAGAAAATATTTTGCCAACGTTTATATAATTATGATAATGGGTATACATCGAAAACACAAACTTAGTCTAAAAAAATAAATACAGAACATTCATACGACAATTAAATCTAAGTCCGTTATAAATAAAATGGTAACCTTATTTAGAATTTCGTTATTTTTTCATAAGCATTTCTGACTATGTCAGCTTTTACCTTTAAATTCATTCGAATACAAATTGCGTATATAAATATAATACTACCAAATTAGAGAGAACCGTTTTTTCTTGGAGACATTATTGACAGTGATCTTTTTTAAGTTTATGTCCTTAACACCTTTGCGGGGTTTGAATAAGTTTACCTGTAGGCCAACTTTGATCTTCTTGGTGAGTGCGCCTTGCGGGAACACGGCTTGAACCTGTGGGACAACGGAGCTGGAGACCATTCCACCTGGAGAAGACAAAATAAATTAGTTACGGTACAAAACAACTATTTTGCGTAACAAATAACATATATAATATACCTATGTATAAGATGGTTGATATAATTTAGGTAACAGTTGATGAAAGCGAGTTTATTGCTGAAAACAGTTCCTTAATCTATAACTATTGACCATTCCAAAATTTTATTTGGCCTTCATTGAAACTGGAATTACGTGTGTATTTTCATACGATTCTCTTAATTCATCTCTGGAAAAACTGAATTTTTAGGGCCATTTCTAAAACCCTTTATGTTGTATATGATGAGTTTATACCAACCTTCGGGTCCAATAGCGTGAACCTCCTGTCGTATGCGCGATATCACAGCGAAGTACTGCGGGAAGTCATGAGTCAGGATCCTGGTGACACGAGGAGCATCCCAGCCTTTCTCATCTTCATTCGTCTCTGTTGAAAATATTATTGTGGATTAAAATTAATATGGAGTCGATTAACGAAAAAAATGTAGAGGTTTAACAGGTCGAGGAGACAGTACTGAAGTTTAGTAATATCAAAAATACTGGATCAAGGCACTAGATCTTCTACAACTACTGGTTTCTGTTGTGCCCGAGAAACATATACTATCCACTCAATTGGCTGCAAATACAATTTAACAATGATAAACCCATTCCAGAACACTCAACTTACCTTCGATCTCAAGAGTTTCATGCAAAATATCCTGCACCACATCATCGGTAGCATCAGCGTTATGTTCCCTCCAGCTAGTTCCATTATCTGATCGGAGGATCACGATCTCCCGCTCCTTGCCTCGAAGAGAGGCGTAGTGGGGCACTTCGAGAATTACCGGTCTGTAAGAAAGGAAACAATGTACAAAGTTAAAAGGTGCCCCAATTATTTGATTGTGACTATTCATCGTTGAAATGCTTGAATGTACCTTATTAGTAACAATTTGAACTTTTATGTGAAACTATTGTTAAAAGTAAACATGCGAGTGCATAAAAGACATCAATAATGTTAACGTACCCTAAAAATTTGGCGGAAACCGGTCCCATCTCGAGCACTCTGGCCGCAAGAGCCTCACCCTCCATCAAGGGCGGCATGTGGTTGATGCGGGATGGTTTAAGATACCTGGAAATTGTATTTTCGTACTCAGTGGCTGTATTACCGAAGAAGAAAATTAGTAACAAACAGAGCGAATAATTAATTACCCAAGTCAGTGCTAATTTTACATTATTACCAGGGAAACAACAATATCAAAAGCCTGTAACAGTTCACTGCTCTAATGTGCTTTTCCTCTAAAAATTTACTCTCCTCATATATTTTCCAGGTTTGACAAGCAGATAGGTCGTGTTAACTTTAAGAAGGCGACAATTTACCTGCATGTTATTCTGGTAGGCTGCTGAGCAGACAATGGTGGAACAATGACCCTTACGCCACCACCACGACATCCTCGCATTGCTCCACCTCGAGCGTCCACCAGGAATGAGACCAAGAAACTAGGAAACGAAAGAGTAAAATTAGAATACACTGTGGAAGAAAGAAAACGAAGCAAAAATAATTGTTTAATAATTTAAATAATAAAGGCGGTACAAGTAATACCATTAGTATCATAATAGTCAGAGTTATTTAATTTCAATCATATCCAACACAAATGCACAGAAATCATAAGCTTAAATACTAAACAAGTCTATGCAAAATAAATGAAAATAATAAATCAAATGAACGAAGGATTGTAGGTAAACAGAGTCAAAAAAATGTACTACTTACTTCTTCCATTGTAGTTTTTTCCTGTAGATCCCAGTAAGCATGCGCAACAATTTGTATTAAATGTTTACATTCTGAAATACAACGTAACATCACAATCATAAAGCATTTCCGCGAAACAATAACTTTTCAATGATCTAAAAGCGTTACTACATTTTTATAAGCCATTATTTTAGGAACTGTTTATATTATAACGAGATTATATTGACCTTGCCACCGTTTTATAAATATTATTTTTATTCACTACATTACTCATACCAAAGGGATAGTAGGTTTTAAAATATCTTGGTAGCAAAATTTTAAATATGGGTTGTGTGTGAATAGTTCCTTTATTCTACCCACAGTACGAAGGGTTTTCACAAGGTTGCATGATGGGACCAACGATACTCAATGTGATGATGGGTTCAATACTGACTTGGGTTGTGTTGGATCTACATTGTAACAGTATCCTTCAGGCGCCTGCGCAGTGCTGTAACGGCTAATGCTCTTCACGACCACCTCCTGTTGAGGTTGGTAGGGCATGCCGTTTACGGAGCCTACAAAAAATAAAAATTATAAATATTGTACACAGTGTTCTAAATCATTTTAAGCCTGTGAATCATATTATAAATAAAATAAATAATTTCTTGAATATAAACAGCTTCGTTTTTGTTTTGTGAAATAATGGCGAAAATAGTTCTTACCTTGCGATAACTCCATAATATTCTTATGGCTCATTGCAGATTCTGTCCTCTCGTCCTTAGTCACGTCTATTGGCAGGGAATCGTCTCCCAGAGACTTCATATCATCCGCTGTCAAGTAGCGGTATGGCTGATCATTCAAGATTGTGTCTTCGCCTGGAATGGAAACCAACATATTAATTACAAAAAAAGTAAAAGTATATCCTTCAACAGGCTGTTTTACTTCTTACATTACTCTTGAGTAATAGTTCAAATAGTTAAGTTATAAGTTAACCTACCTCCTTCTTCTTCAGAATCGGACATGAATGTCTCCAGCATAGTTTCAGGAGCCACCACCTTGTACTTCTCTTGGGACACTGGTGCGATGGATGGCTCTGACACTTCTTTGAGGGTCTCCATGACTGTGACGTAGCCCAATTTGGAGGCGATGTCCAGAGGAGTTTGGCCGTTCTATACAGAAAGTTTTAGATTTATACAGACAGTGTTAGTTGTTTCTTTAATAAATAATGACTATTGACATTGTTAAAGAAGTTTGTAGATTTCATAAATAGTTCATTTTCGGATTCAATGCTAATGACAGTCTAGGCAATTTTAAAAAGTTCAGGGAGCAGATTGTTTCTTACCGTAGTAGTGGCGTTGGCATCCGACTTATGTTCCAGTAGGATGTTTACAATATTGATGTGGCCCTGCTGAGCGGCGTGATGTAACGCAGTATATCTATTGAGAAAAATGAAAACAAATTAAAATCATATTACTGCAACTTTAGGTTTCCATTATTAACATGTGCATCGTTTTTGATCATATTATTGTACATACAAAAAACTGTGAATATTTCTTACCCATGTGTTGTCTGAGCTTTGACGGACGCGCCGTTTTCAAGCAGGAAGCGTACCATGTTGGTCTGTCCGTAGTGACTGGCAATGTGCAACGGCGTGTACCCGCCTTTAGTGCAGATATCAACCTGGTGAAAAGGGCAGATGTTATCATCCAAGCTAAACTACTTTTGCTTAGTTATTACAGTAATCTTGTTCGCTACAAATGTATTAAAATTGATTGATATTGAACTTATCTTCTGTCTTCTTTCAATGCCAGTTTTTACATTTATAGTAAGTTTTTCATCTACCAAAGGGTAAAAACAAATCTTTTAGAACAACATTTACCTCTGCACCATTCTTAACCAACAGCTGCGCGACTGGCACCCTGTCTTCTTGGGCAGCCAAGTGCAAAGCTGCCAATCCATTCTTAGCCTGCTGGTCTACCTCAGCACCATGCTCCAGAAGTAAGGAGCACATTTCCGTGTGTCCCTGTGAGAAGTGAAATTGTAATTAACGGTTTTTTAAAACAGTTTTTTTTTCCTTTGATTTCGAAGTCTTTTTACCGCGATATCATATGTGGATTTACTAATATAATACAAGAGAATTTTACAAATGCTTCATTGATATTATTTTCAAAAGGCTCGTTAATGTTACTTTACAGTCTGGTCCTTCAAACCACTAGCGTTACCTGTTGGGCTGCCAGATGTAGAGGTGTGAATCCAGCCTTGGACTCTGCGTTGGTCAAAGCTCCATATTCCAGCAGAGTGGCTGCCGTTTCCATCTGGTTCTTACGAGCGGCTATGTGAAGAGGAGTATGTCCATTCTTGGCTACAGCCTAGAGAAAATGATTATATGATAATTTATTATCCAAGTTATATTGAAGTAATTTTTTTGGCAACTAATTTTGTTGTAACTTCGGAGAGGTCGCTAAAAAGTGATTCGATAAAAATCAATGAAAAATACGTATACACTTTGGAACCCAACTAAAAATGTCAGCCATAACGAAAAAGTTTGATATCTTCATCCTATTAAAATTTTATTGGAGTTAAAATCACTGTCTTCTTTATTTCTTCCATGCAAACTAACCTTAGCATCAGCTCCTTTCTCCAAAAGTGTAGTGGCAACGGCTTGCTGATCATACTGAGCAGCGATGTGAAGTGGTGTCATTCCATTCTTGCCCGCTTGGTCAGGTGAAGCACCATGAGCAAGTAATAGATTCGCCACCTAAACATTGAAGATACACAAGTATGTAAACAAAATAACACTTTTACATTTTATAACCATTTAATGTGTTGTTGATGATGATTTTGATAAATGGTCAGATTTAATTATTATGGATAATAGATGAGTTAAAATCAAACATATTAAGAACCTTAGATTAATGATTGCACAGACGGAAGCAATATCAAATACTATTGATAAAGTAACACATCTGTTTATGGACCAAGTTAAAGAGAATAAAGTGTTATTTATTCACTCTGAACGGCTGTGCAATGGGTAATGGTAGCATTTTTACGATTCTCATAAAGTTCATGAGCGAATTTAACACTAACCTTCAAATTGCCATATTTAGCGGCTAAATGCAGCGCCGTAAAGCCCTTCTTTGTTGTCGCTGTCAATGGGGCATTGTGTTCGATTAGAGCTGCTGCGACCTGCGAAATAACGTTTCTCTTAAACTTGTGCATATTTCTTGCAAATTGCGTGGTATAATTTTCTACCAAATCAAATTTAAAATTGATCTCTATGTTTTTTTATATTAGAGCTAAAACTATTTCAAAATTTGTAAAATTTAACGTTAGATTATGTTTTGAAATAAGTGTCAGAATGTTTCCGCACTATCGACATCCGATCTGTATCTAGGACAAGTGCAAGTGCTCTTAGACTTTTCGACCCGAGAAAACACATTGTTCTTTAGCGATATTGGGTCACTTTTGATAGAATATTTTTCATTTTTACATTTTTTAAAGCAGCTCTGTATTTGGACTATCAAGACATTGCTTGAGAAACTTACGTCATGATTATGCTGTTTTGCAGCAATATGCAGGGGGTTATAGTGATCTGCAGTCATAGCTCGGACATCAGCACCGTGTTGCAGTAACAGTACAGCAATGTCCACGTTGCCCAGTCTGGATGCGATGTGCAGTGGTGTCTGGCGTTCTCTAGCCTTCGCTTCTACTGCTGCGCCATTGCGGAGCAGGATGCGGATAATGTCAGTCTGAAATAGAAGTTAGACGATGAATACTTAAATAAAAAGACGTTCTACTATAGTATCAACTCAGTTGAAATGTGCTGTTAACATTAATGTACTATTTAGAGCATATGGTCAATTTAGTATTGGAAATGAGAGAGCCTTAACCAATTTTTTTTTATTTAATTTTGAGGTTCTTCCAAAAGTATTGGGACTAGCCTAGATGGAGTTTCTTTTACGGTTTGAAGATTCGATCATTGAGATCTATTTTAAAATCTATAAAAGCCCTCTCACTTGCAAAATCATCATTTTTACATTTTATTCAAAGACATCAATATTTTTTAAACAAGTCGCTCTTCTAACTGAACCTTGCATTTCAAATCTCCTTTTACCTGGTTGGCTCTCGCAGCCAAATGCAAAGGTGTCTCTCCCCTGACGGTGGGTACGTCAGGGTTTGCCTCATGCTGCAGCAGATAGATCACGATGTTCATGCAGCCCATGAATGCGGCCACGTGGAGAGGAGTCAGTCCTGATTCTGTGGTGGCTTGTATACCTGGTGAAAGAAGAATAAGATTTGAAAATGAGAGCAATAATTATGACTGGTTCGGTTTCCAAATTATGTATTGTGTATTTTTGCTTCATTAAGTAAAAGTTTCAATTTAAAGTTATTGGTTACAGGTCTCGATTAAGATAAGGTATGTCCTTTTACCCCGTTGATTAGGTACAATGGGTCAGAAGAGAATTTTGAATACTACTAAATTTTCCAGTCTTGTAAAGCGTTAGTAAGTTTCTGCGATAACAGAATCTGGATATCTTACCATCGCTATATTATATTAAAAATAAAGGCTATGTTAAATTATATTCTTCTAAAAGAAATACTTACTGGCACCATACTTGAGCAGCAGTTCCACCACCTTGATCCTATTCTTCTTGCACGCGATGTGCAGTGGAGTAAATCCGTTGAGAGCGCGTGCATTAGCATCTGCGTTTCTAAAATGCGATCAAAAATGTTTAGAATTTAGTCGCCCTTCCATTCTTAAGTTGAATATGAGAGAAAGGCTGTTGGTGTGCGATATAGTCAATCACAGGTCAAATTTAAAAAAGACGCGCGTCACCCGATCGGTGCCAGACTCGAGCGTCTCAAAGAATCATTAGGCCACCAGACACGGGGTCCTATAAGGCTGATGTTCAGCCAGGGTTGCGGGCCACTCCCTTTCGCCCGACCATGGGCGGGAAAAGTCATTTCATGATTTTTACCCTCACAAAAAAGATCAAATTGAAAAAGGAAGGGAACGTTTTTAAGAACTCACCTGTCCAATAAAAGTTTAGCGACTTTAGCATGTCCGCAATGGGCGGCGACGTGCAAGGCTGTTAGATAGTCCACAGTGACGTCATCGACTGGAGCGCGGCGGGACAGCAGCACTCGAGCTGCTTCAGCATGGTCTCCCTGGGCTGCCATGTGGAGGGGAGCCAAGCCATTCTATAAAAAATAAGAAGCATTAGCAATGAAATGTAAAGTTATTTTAATGAGTCTACGTTGTTCAGACGATTCGTCAGTGAAGCATATACTAATATAAAATAATATGAAAAAGAAGAATGAACAGAAATCTTAAAGAAAATGAGGCCACAATTTTTATTTTGAGCCATGAGGAAGGACAGGCTAGGGTCATATTCGGTTAGTGATATAACACTGCACTAAGGAAGATAATCAAACTATTATTCAGACGACCCATTCTTTACAAATATTTTACTTTATCCCATATCTGTTGTTTAATACATTACCTAAAGGAGGCCTGGCAGAAAATAGAAATTAATTATATGTTGTTTAGATCTGCCTTCGGCTCAGCAGTTGTTAAGGGCTGTTGTTAAAATATTATGACCACCATTTTTTTCTTACCTTACTCTTGCTAGTAATAGGAGCACCCCTATCCAGAAGGACCTCAACGACCCTCTCGTGGCCTGAGCGAGCGGCACAATGCAGAGGAGTCAGTCCATCTCTAGTGCGAGCCTCGACGTTGGCCCCATTGTCGCAAAGGAGCGAGACCATATTTTCCTTGCCTGGAATTTGTGATGGAATTAGTGTCTAATACGACTGTTATTACAAAAACTTATACTGCCTCTAAGTTCAGTCGTAAATAATGGTTTTTGGAGATTACGATATGAGTTTTAATTTTTTATAGTTTTTATTTTTCAGAGTGAGTCTTCATTCACTTTTTTCCCACTAGATGGCGTTTGTACAATAAATTATTACGTATGTACGAAAAATTATTTTTTTAGAACTGTGATATTAAAAATAGGCCTCACGCTAGTGAGCCTGTTTCTTTTTATATTTTTTGGTCCCCAAATAAATCCTTTTTTTACGAGTTCTGCATTAAAATATTCAGTGAACGTTGAATCATTCATTATTAGATGCACTGAAAACCAAATATAGGTGGAGACATTTCCTTATCCAAGCCAGCACTAATAGATGCAAAATCTCGCCACGCTGCAGTTATTGCACTTGGATGTGATTCGCTTTTTGACATGAAACAAACTAGTAGAGGTTTTGGATAGATCACTTACTAATACTCGCTCAGCAATTATCTTACCCCATTTAGCAGCAACATGTAGAGGACAGATGTTGTGCTTAGCAGCACAGTTGACATCAGCTCCCTTGGCCAGGAGAAGTCTCGCAACAGCTTCGTTGCCATAGTGGGCCGCAATGTGGAGCGGAGTGAAGCCAGACTTCGAAGTCACGTCGGGATTATGTTCGTTCTGGTAGTGAAAATGATTTTTAAGCTTTATAATCAAGTTTACACGATTAAGATATTTTGTAGATCACTTGCAAATATAGTGTTTTTTTTTAATTAAATTAGACCAAATTAGACAAATGGCTTGGTAGGAAAATAAAATGTTAGCAAATTGATTTTTTTCCATTTATAAACAATTATGACATTTGTAAAATAAAAACTTAAGCTGCGCTAGGTTAGAAATACCTAATCAAATTGAGTGAGACTATTAAACATTGAATGGTTTTAATACTATTGGCGATCCCCTGTATATTAGCACCTTCTAATTTATTGGTACAGATACAAAGCCCTAAATATTTGTAAGGTATTGAGAAATAATATTCGCAGAAAATCAATTGTTAAATGTATTGATCACGTTTTGCTTAGTATGTAAGTTTGTTATAATGTAAGACTTTAGAGTATAATTATTCATTCAATAAACCGACATGTAACTGTCAACTTGTGTCCTTATTGAATCACCTCTACCCTACCAGCACCAAACTAAATACAACATTATATGGCGACCCTGCCATCTTCGACCAATATCAAGAAATAAGAGTTAATAGCAAGAATAAAGATTCAGAAACGAAAATCAAGAATCTAGAAGAAATTACTATGGGTAAAACCTACTCCAAAGAAGAAGTTGTAATCGCACAAAACGGAAACGGCGAAGCTTCGGCATCCACAACTCAGCATATGCCCAAAAGTACGAGTACCGAATTAATTTTGTTAATCACCATCGTCGTCTGCGCCTCCGTTGCCGTCGTATACTTTGTTTTGAAGAAGTGCCGCACCTACGCAGTTAACACGTTACGGCGAGAACTAAACGCAGCAAACCTCAACGACGTCGCCAGAATCCATTTGAACCCTTAAAGATGTGTTGCCGCAGAGGATCGGTGTCCAGGGTATAGCCCGGCCCACTAACCCGAGTCTACGTGCACTTCGGCATCGCCCAGCCGCCCAGCCGCCCAGCAGCAGCCCATCGGCATCGTGCAGCAAACAGATAAATGGCGTGAAAATATCGTATCTAATTTTGCTACAAGTAAGACAAATAACTATACATTAATCTAAGTACTTAAATTTAGCTTAGTATTGTTGTAATGAGTATATCAGAGTTGCAATCTATATACAATAAGTTAAAAGATATTAAGGATTATTTAGTGAAAGTCGGACCAGCACGCCGACAGAAGTCTGACACAGTTCAGAATAAAATTATAGAAGCGCAAGTTGTGTATAGTCGTTTGGAGTTTACTTCTTCAGATATTCGTAAAAAGATAGAAAATTCTGAGATAAGCGCCGATAGTTTACTAACGGTAAATAAGTTAATTAATGATATACATACATTATATAATAAAATTTTGAATTTAGTTATATGTAAAGACGATTCAGATTCCAAGGAATCAAATAAGTTATCGAAAATGGCTTCTGACAATTTTGATTTAAAATCTGCAATTGCCCTATTGCCTGTGATGACAGGTCAAGAGCATGTTACTCTACAGATTATAGACAGCATTCAGTTATATAGTAGTATGCTTAATGAAAATGGTAAGAAGCAACTAATTGAGTTTGTGCTCAAAACAAGATTAACGTCTAGTGCTAAACTACGCTTGAAGTCAAGTTACAGTAGTGTTGACGTTTTAATTGCAGACATGCGAAAGTATTTAGTACCAAAGAAATCGTCTGTTGCTATACAGTCGCAAATGTTTAATACTAAACAAGGTCACAGATCCATAGAAAAATATGGTGCAGAATTAGAGCGTTTATTCGTCGATTTAACTATCGCACAGGCCGATGGTAACGACGAAATGTACCAAGTATTGCTTCCGTTAAATGAAAAAATTGCCATCAAGCGATTTGCAGATGGATTGTCCAATTCTCGACTTAGTACGATAATTGCGTCTCGCTCATGTAATTCGCTTTCTGAAACTATTAGGACAGCTATAGATGAGCAGTTATTACGTCCTGATGATGAACAATCCGTTATGAGAATGAAGCAGAATAATTATAAAAAGTATAATAATAATTTTTCTCGAAATAATTTCCGACCCAATAATAGGAATTTCCAACCGCAACACGTACAAAGTAGCTATAAGTCGCGAGTTTATTACAATAACGGAGCGTCACGTGGCCCCCAACATCGCGGATGTCGCACTAGGGGACCGAGCAGTAATCGCGGTACATACAATCGCGATTCTTATAAAAGTGTAGCGCATGCATCGCAACAACAACATGATGATATAGAAGATAAACTTAACAGTGAGTTTTTTCGTCCCGAAAATGAATAGTTCGTTTATATTAAACTATAACAGTAGCAACGTAGTGTCATTAAATATTGGTAGTAAATCAATAGATTTATTGGTAGACAGTGGTGCAAATTTATGTGCTTTGAAATACGAATCCTTACAAAATTATACCGAATATATGAGTCAGCTTCATGAAGATAAAATAACAATTAAAGGTATAAGCGGAAAGTTAATTTCTGAAGGATTTGTTTACATACATTTAGAGTATAATAGTGTTATTTTTAGACAAAAGTTTTATGTATTTAAAAATTTGTCATGCTCAGCAGATGGTATATTAGGTGAAGATTTTTTTAGACAATACAATGCTGTTATTGATTATAGGGAAAATATTTTACAGTTATCAAAAAATAACGAAACTATTTACGTGCACATAAACAAGAACATTTGTTACATCCATTCAATACCACCTCGTTGCGAAACAATTAAATACGTACCTTGTCAATCGTGTCATGATGTTGTAATTTTAGCTGATGAGATCGAGAAAGGAGTATTTATTGCCGGAATGATAACAAAACCGAATAAAGGTCGAATTCCGATTAAAATATTAAATACTTTGAATACAAAGATAAATTTAGACTTATCTAAAGTAAAAACTTTTACAGTCAATGAGTTTGAGATATGCTGTTTTCAAAAGAAAAACACGTCAGTAGCACGCGTTAAAACTTTGTTTGATTTACTAGATATAAATTATTTGAATAAAGACGAGAGAATTCATATTGAGAAAATTTGTGCTAAATACGCAGATGTCTTCCATTTACCCGGTGATAAGTTATCTGTAACTAACTTAATGGAACATAATATCGTATTAAAAAATGATGCGACACCTGTTTACGTAAAACCGTATAGAATACCCCATTCATTAAAACAGGAGGTAGAAAAACAGGTCCAGGAGATGTTAGACAACGACATCATAGAGGAAACCGTTTCCGAGTGGTCTAGTCCTGTCCTATTAGTTCCGAAAAAAGCCGATAAATCTAATGAGAAAAAGTGGAGACTTGTTGTAGATTACAGGCAATTAAACAATAAAATTCAGGATGACAAGTTTCCTTTGCCAAATATTACAGATATTTTGGATTCTCTTTCTGGCAGTATTTATTTTTCCAAATTAGACCTATCGCAATCATATTACCAATTATCATTAAATCAAAATTCACGTAAATATACAGCATTTAATTTGGATAAAATGTACCAACTTTCTTTAGACAAGGACTCACGTAAATGTACTGCTTTCTCAGCGGGAAAGCAATATCAAATGAAGCGTTGCCCAATGGGATTAAAAACAAGTCCTAGTGTTTTTTCTAGACTGATGACTATTGCAATGTCAGGCCTAAATTATAAGAAATGTTTCCAATATTTAGATGATTGCGTAGTAATAGGAAAATCAATGGAACAACATAACTCAAATCTTATCAGTGTTTTGAATCGGTTAAGAGAAGTTAATTTAAAGTTAAATCCCATGAAATGTGAGTTTTTGAGAAAGGAAATTGTTTACTTAGGCCATAAAATTACATCGGAAGGTATATTCCCAGACCCAAACAAAATAAACATAATGACTAATTTTCCGAGACCCACTTGTGCTGACGAAGTAAAACGATTGGTTGCATTTGCCAATTATTACCGGCGATTCATACCTAAATTTGCCGACATTGTATTTCCATTGAATCAATTGTGCAAAAAGGGTATTGTATTTAGATGGACAAACGATTGTGAAACCGCTTTTCAAAACTTAAAGTTAACTTTAACGAGACCACCCATATTAGACTACCCAGATTTTTCCGAGTCAAATATTTTTCAATTACAAACTGATGCTTCAAAAATAGGTCTAGGTGCAGTATTAAGTAATAGCAATGGAAGAGTTATCGCTTATGCAAGTAGAAGTTTAAAGCCAGCCGAGTCTAGATACCCGATAATAGAGCTAGAACTATTAGCTATCGTTTGGGCTGTTCGCCACTTTAGACCCTATTTATATGGAAGGAAATTTAAGATTTTCACAGACCATAGGCCACTTGTATACCTATTTAGTTTAAATGACCCATCAAGTAGATTAACAAAGTTTCGATTATATCTAGAAGAATATGACTTTGACGTGGAATATGTCCCTGGTCGTAATAATGCAGCTGCAGATGCATTAAGCCGAATCACGGTGACATCTTCTGATTTTAAGAATATGCGTGACAAAACAATTTCAGTATTAACTAGAGCTCAAAAGAAGAAATTAGAACAAGAACGTTTAAATGATAGACAAGTAGTAGAGAATTCTTCTTCAGTGGATAGGCCTGATCAACCTGTCGCTGTCGAGGTTCTCAAAAAACCTGACGAAATAGTGGAGCTAGTATTTTGTGATGAATGTAGGGAATCGAATTTGTCGTTTTCCGATATTGTGACTTGCACTTATGTTCCCACACAGTCTGCAATACAGCTAAATACCCGATCGTTATCTACTCCGGAAGTGTTAGCGAGGGATTTAGAAAACTTATGCAGAAATTTAGGGATTAAAGAATTATTAATAATTAAAAACAAACGTAATGCATTACACATAAAAGTTTTATTAAGGGTAATGAAAGAATTTCAAATTCTTATCCCACGATTTTTAATTGTGAGAGACGTTGTTCGCGTCGTAGACAAAGACCATATAAAGGTCATATTAAATGATTTTCACCTCTTGCCCACGAGTGGACATGCAGGCATTAATCGAATGATTAATAATATAAAGAAAAGTTATTACTGGCCAGGATTAAACAGTGACGTTACGGATTATGTCCGAAAGTGCAAAAGCTGTCAAATACAGAAGCACTGTAATAAAAGAATAAAAGAACCGATGGTTGTTACATCAACACCAGATACGGCATTTGATAGTATAAGTTTAGATTTAATGGGCCCACTAGAGATAGATAATCATAATAATAAATATATCTTAACGTTACAATGTAATTTAACTAAATTCGTAGAAGCATACCCTTTGTCTCGAAAAGATGCAGAATCTGTCGCTAGAACTTTTGTTAATAATTTTATATTACGTTATGGCATACCAAAACAAATTTTAACAGATAAAGGAACCGAGTTTACGTCAAGTGTACTAGTTGAAATATGTAAATTGTTAAAAATTGAAAAATTAACTTCTACTCCATATCACCACGAAACATTAGGATCGCTGGAAAACAGTCATAAACACTTAGGAGCATTTCTCAGAATACAATGTGAAAACAATAAGACAAATTGGAGCGATTGGGTACCTTTCTGGTGCTTTTCATATACACATATGAAACGAAGTACACTCCATACGAATTGGTTTATGGAAAAATGTGTAACATTCCTAGCAATGTATTTTTAGAAATAGAACCTTTATATAACTATGAGGATTACCCTAAGGAACTAAAATATAGATTAAGCAAAGCCCTAGCTGAGGCTAAACAAAATTTAATTAAGAGTAAGATTTTAAGAAAAAATGTATATGATAAAAATATGAATAGTATTAAATATGAAAAAGGGGATTTAATTTTATTGAAAAACCAAACAGGTACTAAACTTGATCCTGTGTATAATGGTCCATTTGAGGTCTTAGAAGATCTTTCCCCAAATGTTAAGATTTTAAAAAATAATAAGGTTGTTGTGGTACATAAAAATAATACTATAAAATTTGTATCTTAATTTAAGATTCTTTTATACTTTGTGTTTTTGTATATGATTTTTTTTTCCTTAAGGGGAAGGGGTAGTAGCCCTTTACTTTTCAGGGGAGCTGTAAGGTATTGAGAAATAATATTCGCAGAAAATCAATTGTTAAATGTATTGATCACGTTTTGCTTAGTATGTAAGTTTGTTATAATGTAAGACTTTAGAGTATAATTATTCATTCAATAAACCGACATGTAACTGTCAACTTGTGTCCTTATTGAATCACCTCTACCCTACCAGCACCAAACTAAATACAACATTATATATTAAATAATACAGAAGTTTGTTGGTTACTTATAACTAAACGCCATGTATATTATTAAAGTGCGAGCTAACCAAATCAAATTGCTTATAAGCTTTGTTAAAAATTATGGCAATAAATATACAGAAAAAAGAAAGAAAACAACATAGAAAAATCTTCCACAAACCTCAAGCAACAAATTCGCCGCCTTGACGTCATCTTTTTTAGCAGCAATGTGCAGTGCTGGCAAGCGGACCCGGCCACGAGTGTCAGCTTCCAGAAGAACTGCTACCACCTTCTCATGACCTTGCTGCATCGCCACTGCCAGAGGAGTGAAGCCATCCTGGAAGGAACGCGTTGTTAGAGATGCTCGAGATAAAACAAGATCAGAATCAGTGATGGTACTGTTTAATGAAATACTTGTTATTTAAGTCAAGTCAAAGTCAAAATGATTTTGACTTTGAGTTTGACAAAAAAGCTTTGTTTAACGAAGGTTTAAGATAAAAAGTGTCGGTCAGTTCTCTATGGGCTAATTTTTCAGTGGTTAGATAAAAGTTACCTGGGGAATAATTATGATGCTGTCGCGTCAGAATGTTTGTATAAGACAGTGACCGCAACAATTTTATTCTTAATATATTTTCTCGATCGCATTATGACAAGAAGTATCTCTTCAACACTTTTGAACAGTTTCTTATATTTATTGTCTTACAGATTTCCATGGGTAATTCATTCATTTTCTTTTTAAAAACAAACGAAAATAAAATGGTAACTAATTTCTACATACCGGAGGAAATAGGTACTGTTTTTATACTCAAAAACTGCACGGTTAGCGCAGTGCAGACTATTGCGCAACGTGACGCGGATTCAATTCCCACATGAAATATCAAATGTTTATGTGTAAATGTCCCAAAACTAGCAGGAAATTTCTTACTATTTGATGTAACAATGTGATAAAAGTATGATAGTATATATTTTTGTAAGTAATTTTTTTTTATGTAAAAAAATGCTTCTTACCTCAGTAGCAAGGCTCTGATTGGCTCCATTAGCGAGTAAGAACTTCACGACGCCATCATGGTTCTCCTGCGCTGCCATGTAGAGTGGCGTGAAGCCATTCTGAGATTGGATGTTGACCTGAGAAAGAAAAAGTGTTTTTAGAAAATGTAGCTTAAGACATATAGTTAGGTCGTGCACTTATAAAAGAAATTCAAATGAATGCCTGTAGAACTGAGTGTAGGTGCGTTGCCGGCCGAGCTAGACCTAGGCTTACTTACATAGCGAAGCAATATAATAATTTCACATAAGTTGTCTATTAACTTGTAGTATCACCTCGGTCAATTCGGCACATTCATGATGAATTATTACAATTCTGAATGAAGACTATAATTTACAATGTAAGCTATATTACAATAATTGGAAATTTTCAATAATTGGTATATCGCCAACAATATTTCAAACACGGAACTTTCTTGGCACCCACGTTTGCCATCAACAACATCGATCAACGTGATATTATGTAACTTATATATAACACCAATCAACAAAGAAAAAAAGAAACCACTTAAAAACACGGAAATATCGCAAACGCTTAAAAACCATTAATTATCTGCCAAAACTTTGACGTCGATAAATCCGAAAATTCCAAAGATAAAACAATGAATTGAATCAATAAACATTACTGTTCGAATATCGACGGCTGTTTCAATATTTATGTGTGAATGTCAAAATATTTTCGATATCGACGATTGGTAAAGTGCTCCCGGAGGATTTGTTGTTATGACTGTCTGTAATACTCCATTCATTCATGAAAACAGACAGGCGAAATACATTTTTGAGAAATCCTTCTTTTTGGAGAACGATGCTATGATTATTTAATCAGAGAAGAAAACAATGAATGTTATAACCTCAATATCAAACTCACAGAAGCCAATGTATAATAACGAGTAGTTGTTTATTGTAGAAGTCTAAAAGGAAAGCCTTTTTCAACAGTGCACTTCTTCTGCCCGGTGATGATAATGTAATGTATCACAAAAACTAAACATGTTTTTGTCAACACATTTAAAATCAAATATCGGTAAGGAAATAACTATTCCAAAACATATTGCTATGTTATTGGGCCGTATAGTGTTGCTTTTGGCTTGCTTTCTGTGAGGCCGTGATATTACTCCGATCAAGCTGGTCCATTCGTGCCGAAGAAGCACTCTCCCACACTTAAAATGGATTTATCTCTCACATGCATAAAAATGTCAACTTTTTGAAAACAATCCCCATTTTCCTAGAATGTTAAGTTGTCTTTATATTCAAACGACAGTTCTATACTGCAGTCAATAATTAATAAATAAAATGTTGATACCACATCCGCTCATCTTGCTTTAATATAAGGGCTACTAACGACTCACACTCGAACTAAATCATTGTCAATGCCAATACCCATTCACGTGGAATGAACACGTTGGAATCCTTGGAACAAATTGCTCACAGGATGCAATGAGGTGAAAACTAGATGAAGACGAAGGAACGCTAAAGGTCGATTTAATATCAAGCTAATAGAAATAGAATTAAATTCTACGCTATATAATGATAAATATGATTAAGATATAAGAGAACATAGTGGATAAGCATTCAGAGATAAGGTCAACCAGAAAAATCTAAATAAGCACTAAACCACACATAACTTGAAAAAACCTATTTTAAGAAAATAATAAGAACAGTTGACCGCTGAATCGCACGAGTAATGCTATTACGAAAGAAAATTCTGGAAAGATAATGCTAATAAAACGAATAAATACCTATAAAAGGTAAATGACTCAGAGCACAATACAGTATGAGAACTTTCACGAAAACAAGTTGAGTCATCCCGTAAGCAGTACTCTTAAAAATGACAATACAATTATCTTAATCATTTCATTCATTTTGTATGATGTAGTATAGTACATTCGCACAGATGGACGTAGACCTACCAGATAGTGAGTGACTTCATACTTTAGACCCATTTACTAGTTACGTTTTCCTGCTGGTTTCTAGGCAAAATTAAAAAAAAAACACACACACATAAACTCAACCAGATGGTACTGTTTGTTTACTAATATTTCTTTAAATATCTTTTTTTTTATGAAAGACTTAAATTTGGGTGATTGGTATCGCCAATGTTAATTTCTAGTGGCAGCAGTGAGTCTTTTTTAAATTTAAGAATATTTCCAAAGTTCTTCTTACAATTTTTTTATGATTACATAATCTCAGACAAAATTAGGCTAACAATTAGGCTATAATGTAATTATATCATCATATGAAAAACGTCCACTACTGATGAAGCTTGTGTCGTTTCTTATAATCTTATTTAAACTATAAGAAAATCTACACTTTACTATTTATTGCCATACTCATAGTCATTTAATTATTATTTCTATTATTTACTTAACGATTTTGTCATTAAATCATAATATAATAATTGTAAGTATTAACCAGTAATTTTACTTTGAGTACAGGCAGTGACTACCTTACAATAGCTGAAAAGGTACTAACTACTAATAGCTGAATTTTATTTTATGCATAAATATTAGTGCAGTTCCTGACCTGGGATTCAAAGGCATTGGTTCAGTAATCTCATTCTTAATAGTTTATTTTGCTTTCATTCGGTATGTTCCTTTAACGTTTGTTTGAATCATTTCCAATTTCTTTATTATCATGTTTGTACATATCCTCCTCTACTTACCCTTGAACTTTGGCTTCGGTTTTCTTTATTTTGGCAATGGTTAGTGTTGTCTGTCCGTATCCAGTTCGATGCGGTTATTTTAATTTTATGTTTTTCAAGTTCACATCTTTGTGAAACATCTTTTTTCATGGAAACTTTAGTATCTTCGTTTTTATTGTTGGCATTGATATTATCAGTTTGTGCTAATATATTTTTTGTATTTTCTGCGCATTCGGAATTGTTATTTTCAAATGGTTGGTCACAAGCAAAATGGTTCAAACGCAATAAGGTACCGTAGCGTCGGCCTGGAGCAGGAGATCAATTCGTCAATTTGATGATTTTTCCGCCACAAAAAGCTAAATGGGGAAGTTTGTTAAGTTTCTAGTCATAAATGGAGCCATTAAATCACCCTAGAATCTATTTGTGCCTCAATAATTTACAACAATGATACATATTTATTGGATCTTCAAAAGTTTAAGTCATTCCGAACCTAATGTGTCAGGCCTACCAGTGGTGGAGGAGCGTTCGTCTCAAGGACTGGCAATTGCCCAAATATCATTAAAGTTCAGAGCCTACCGCAACATAGCTAAAAGAAGATTAACTCGGTATCCAACCTATTGGTCAATGGCTACTTTAAATAGATATTTGACATTAGTTAGTTTGAATGCTTTACAAAATTGTATCTCTAGATCAACATTGGAGAGAAAATATTTCTGAGAATAAGTAAGTCTGATTATTCAAACCATAACTTTAGTATTTTTCTATTCTTTTCTAGCAAAAAATTGAACTACATTTAAAGAGTTTCTGTCTGTGTCCCTACAGGAGACAATTTAGTGTGATCTGGCTATTGCTGTTCTAAAACTTCGTTTAATGTGGATGAAAGTTAGTGGGCACATTTTTTTGTGTTTGGAAAATGATCAATTGACTAGTCTCCTAGTAGTAGTCCTGGGCGAGGCGAAAAGAAGACTTACAAAAACCACCCCGTGCTTTCTCTTGCTCCAGGCCGATGCTACAGTATATCGTTGTTCTAGTTCCACAACTCCAGCTTAACGTCCCACCTTTGGTGGTCTATTAGCTTTTTAAGGCGCGACGACACAAGAACAAACACTAGTACCTACAGCAGGTATGAAACTAGGTCTTTTTCTTCTTACCTGTGCAGAATTCTGCACGAGCAGTTTGACAACTGCTTCCTGCCCCGCAAGAGATGCGATGTGCAGTGCAGTGTTGCCTTTCTTGGTAGCTGCATCGATTGCAGCACCTCGATCAAGCAGCTCTCTGACAACTTCCACGTGGCCATCTTTCGAAGCAAGATGGATGGCGTTGAGTCCGTTCTGCGAACAAAGAAAATCATTGAATAATTTAGATTTAATTTTTATCAATTGATGTGCTCTCTCTTTCTCTCCCTTTATTCATCTCTTTGAAACAATTCCAAAACATAAAAGTGGTGCGTCGTGAACTTGTATTTTACTTTTACACGATTAATTTAAGTAAAAAAATTCCTTCGTCTGACACTCGGAAATTAAGAAATATGACTACCAAATGTCAATATTACACCATCTTTTGTGTCAAAAGACATTGAGATACATTTAGCATCATGTCATTCCAGACAATTGAGTGCTGGTTTCTTGTAATCACAAATATAATAATTTATTTACTAAAGTTTAGATTCAAGACTTACCAAAGAGTTTCAGAGGAAAGAAACGTATTAAGGAGGATCGATACAATGATAACTGCGCAACGCTAGCTCAAAATTTACAAAAGGTCCTATTACCATGAGATCAAATAATAAACATAGACCCAAGTCTGACAGAAGATAAATTTACAGTCACCCATAAATGTATAAAAATCACCCGCTGCTCGGCTCCATTTGATAGTAGCGTAATGTTTCACAGCTTTTAGCACTTAGGAATATTGTAGCTATCTATCAATGAAAAAATTTTGGCTACCCGACCAGCGGTTCCAAAGATTACCCCCTACATACAAACTTACAAATTTTACCTCTTTATAATATAGTATAGACAAACAAAAATGTATCTATAAGTCCGACTTCGTACATAACACTTTGGGGATAAAATGTACTTGTTTTGCGTTCTCGTCACGTAAAAGCCTAATCAATTTATGCAAATAATGATCAAGTAAATATGGTAACAGTATATTTGGGACATTTCTTTTTGTGCCTGTATTCGGAAGAGTAGGCATGATGTCATTAATATTTTTTCAGGGTGTTGTATTTCAAACGAGTCTATTACTAAGTGGATAATGTACTTAAACAAATGAAAATCGTGAAGTGAGTTTATTAAAAGAATAGTTTTTTTTAATTTGACGATATTTCAAATAATCACTTTGGGTTTCGAAAAGAAACGGTTATTTATTTGTACATATGTATATCATAAAGTATTATTTTATCAATTATAAATGAACCGAAATATATTTCTTATTATAAGCTGATATAAAACTCAATAATTTGATACTCATCATTTTTGAAATTATATTTTTAAATTGAAACTTAGTTGTCTTCGGCTCAGTCTAAGCACAGTGATGGCTGAAACCTGATAAAGGTCAGGAAGGTCACGAAGATCCTAATCTTAATGACCTTCATGAACATAAAGCTGTAACAGTTTGACCTTTAATGGAAGG